CACACACACTCAGAATCACACACACTGATATATTCACTTCCTCAAGCACACACTCACCATACTCACAGCTGTGAGTCCCAGGTGATGCAGACGACTGGGACAAAGCTGAGTTCTGCTTCAGTCTCTCACTTCCTGTCTGTAAGTTTTGAAGTGTCAGAAGTATCTCTGCTTTAACCCCCTTATGACAGCCTCACCAGAAACAGTGACTGTGGGTCTAAGACCGAGCCCTCCATCCTGCGTCCAGATCATTTCCAGAACCTTCCATTGCTCTCCAGGAGCAAGCTGCAAATACGGACACAACTCTGACTTTCCCACCCTGCTTTACAATGTGACATTTTCACCTCAACGGGAAAATTAAAAAAATAATAACAAAAATTCAAGAAAGATTTTCTTCTGGTCACAGCTACAATACTAGCTGTCTTCATTTTTCCCCCTTAAGAACTAAACCATCTCACATCATAGTGATTCTGAAGATGTCCACGTGCAGGCAAGAGTTTGATCAAATGCAGATATCCCAGCTCCTGCACTGGAGAGAGGAGAGGGCCCTCTGAGCAGCAGAGAAGGGGGGCACATGGACAGGGCTGGACACAGGGGTGTTCTACTGCAAAGCAAATGCTTAACAACTGGGCTCATTTCAAAAGTCACATGCAAATGATGCTATGTCATGTAATAAGATGACTTTGAAACCATCCTTAATTTTAGAAGGAATGCCTCAGCACACTCAGAAAAGTGGATGCAAGCTACAATTCCCAGGGGCGCTCAGCATAAAGCCAACTCCATAGCCTTCCCACTCAGGTATGAAATCTTTCACAGCCCCCCGTCTCCATATAAAACACGGAGCATTGTTCCATAATTTCTTATCCACAACTCCCCTCTCTTGCTCTGGCATGCAGTGCCCTGGAGACACAGCCACAAACCAACAGACAAGCCTCATGGGAAGGAATCCATGTGCTGTGGAGAAGGGGCCACTGGCAAACACTACAGAGGACAAGAGCCCACGGTGTTGAAAGAGGCCCTAGGAATATCAGAGAGAGGAATACAGCAGAGAAGGGGGTCAGAGTGGCCTAGGAGGGTGGAAGGCAGTGGATGCTTTGAATCCAAGTTAAGGAATGCCTAGCATGAGACGTCTATGACTGGAGCTGACAAAATGGTCTTCTACAGCCTCTTCTGATGGAGTAAACTTGTGTCACACTCCCAGGCCTATGATTTCCCTAGACAGCCCAGGTGGCAGCTGGATCGTGGCTCTCAGAACGAGCAGGCCACCCAAAGGCGCCAAGACATATCTGGGTTCCTGTTCTGTTACTTCTCTTGTCCCATCCTCCCCTTTCCCAGCCCTCTCCTTGCCAAGACGCAGCTGGAAAGCAGAGGACAGCGACACCATCCCAAAAGGCTCAGTGGGCTGACCATTTGTGTGGAAAGTTTCTGAGCTGGTCAACCTGCAGTGGGAAGCAGCTCATGGGTTTTCCTTCAAACCAGGCTATATGAGGGTAAGCAGAAACTAACTACAAGGAGCAGACAAATGGAAGTGCTTCTGATCAAGGTGCGGGCAGTGTGACGTATCACCTGTCTGCAGTGTGGACAAAATGACCTGACGGAGTAATTCAGAAGGTACAGATGGAATCTGATGTAGGGAGACGACATGGTGCAGGCAGGGCTGGACACAGCCTCAGCGGAATGGTCTTCCTACTATACTACACACACACACACACACACACAGATTTATTTATTTTATTGGAAAGTGATTTACAGGGAGAAGGAGATTCAGAGAGAAAGATCTTCCATCTGAGCCCATCTGAAGCTAGGAGCCAGAAGCCTGTTCTATGCCTCCCACATGGGTGCAGGTTCTCAAGGACATGGGCCATGCTCCATTCCTTTCCCAGGCCACAAGCAGGGATCTGGAAGGGAAATAGAACAGCTGGGACACCAACAGGTGCCCATATGGAATCCCAGAATTCACGGTGAGATGATTAGCCAATTGAGCCTTCGTGTCTGTCCCCATCTCCCTGAGACCATTACATCTTAACAGGACCTCCTGCTCAAATCACAAGGCTGATCTCCAACGCAAGCACCCTCAGCAAGGCCCATTCCCTGTGTCTCACATGAGATCGTGAGCTGGTATTGGCATAACATCAAGTTGGTACAAAACCTGGCATCATTGGGATATCGTTCCTACATGAAAGACATTTTCAGCAAACACTAACACTTCCTGGACTCTCTCAGACTGACTCCAAACTCATGACCACCTGAAGGATAAAGAGCCCCACTGGTCCCACGTACATAGGTGATGGTATTGCAGGTTCCATGCGAACAGAGGAGAGGCCTGGCCTTCTCAGCCTTCTGATGCATGCCAGTGTGAGAGCAACGGAGAGAGACAGCTCTGTTTAAACCTTTCTAGTTCACTGAGAGTTCTGACAATACTCACAGACTCCCCATGACACACTGCCATGCCAGCAAATGGCTCACAGCATTAGTTAACGACAACTGAATTTCTAGAGCACATCTTAGTCAGGTTCCCCCCACCAGACAAGAATACCACCTCTTCTTATTCTCCAGCATGGGAAAAACAGCTCTTCATGCCATGCGAACCATTCAGGGCCCAAGTGGGGACACTATTAGTGGAATCCCTCAGTGTTACTCACTGATCTGGGACTCACACCATGGAGACAGCAATTGTTTGTTACAAGCCTCACACTCTGGACAAATAGCTCCTTATTTAACGGTTGCACATATTAGCACTTGGGATAGAGCTAAGTGCAACCTGACCTGCTAGGATCAGAGCACTTCAAATGCTTGGCTTCAACATGGGAGAATCCATCTGCTGCCTCACTCCCCAAACACCCACAGTACCAGTGAGTGGGAAGAGTTAAGACAGGTCTTCCACAGAAGGGACAGCAGCTCAAGTGCTTGGGTCATCTGCTGCTGCTTTTTCCCAGACATATTATAAGGATGCTCAGACAGGATTCAGTCCTAAGCACCCTGAGATGGGATCAGTATCCTAAGCACCCATGTAATCGACAGATAAATCTTTCTCATTTTCATTAGCATAAAAATGAATTAGGAACAAGCCCTATTTATGTGAAGTCAGGCACTCACTTGTTTCCTCTCGTAAGAAGTTGTAATAAAGAAGCCGCAAAATCAGAGAACACACGTGCTCAGTGAAGGTAAAAATACATTTCTTCCCCTTCTGTTTTTTTGGGTCTCATATTTTCATTCTCCTGATGGGGCATTCAACCAGGAGGATGACGCAGAGAAGTGGCAAGGAATGAGTGGCCCTTTCTCTCTTTATTTTTTTCCTTTGGATGCTCTACTCCAAAGCCCCATAGACACTCCAAGTGGATGCCAGCCCTAGCTGCGGCACCAGCATTCCAGCTCAAGCTCAGCTACAGAACCACCAGCTCCCACTCAACGTCTCCCCGTCTCCTCCCACGTCCTGCTGGGCACACACTGTGATCTCTGCCAATCAGTCCCGCAGGTGACGTGTCCCATAATCCCCCACGTACTCTGCACTCCAAGGATCGGAATATGCATTTTGAAAGGAAAACTACAAAAGAGAACCTCCTTGTTCCATTCTTCCTGAGCTACTTCTGCACCACCACTTATTTCTGAAAACTGCAGCCATGATTCAGTTGACAGGACTTCAGGGACCCACACACTTGATAAACAACGCTGCCTCAGCCCCCCACGACTGTGCTGCTGACGCCTGGCTGCAAGGCTGACGTCATCCTTGTTAGTAATTCCTCCTTCCGCCTTCCTTTTTATCCAGCCTTTGGCACTGATGTGCATCCGTGGCAACTACAGACTGAGTAAGCTTCCTCCTTCAGAGTGTTATTTAAAGTGTACCTTCCATTATTAGCCAGAAGAGGAGAAAAGGGGAACAAAGAAAGCAACTGGGTGGCATTGCTCATCCACGCCCAGTTCTGGATCACTTGCTGTTTGCCAGGGATAGAAGAGTGTGCTGGTCGACCCGGCATTTTCCTGCCTGCTCTCCCCGGAGTGGCCCCTTGTAGACACAGTTGGCAGCTCTCACCCCTCGGCTGCCGCCAGCTTCCAAGGCAAGCTCTCTTCTTCGGCCTGGACAGCAGCTGTGTGATTTTACTGGTAGATACGCTGCTCACTATCAACTTTTCCAGTTACATTTCTTTCTGTTTCCAGTAACCACAAGGGTTCGCCAGTGCCATTGGCCACCATTCTCTCTGCCACTATGTCCTTCTTGTTGTTTTAGAGCAAGGGGTGTCCACCAAGCGCTGGCATCATGCACTTGTGTGTGTTATTTTTATCTCCTGGTTGTCCTAATATCGCTTTCTCAGTTCAACTCTGCTCTAACACAAGTCAGAGGCGGTATTCTGGTGTCACTGGAGGTGTTCAACAAAACCCAGAGCCACCCTCTGCCCTACCCTGGTGAGTCTCTGAGAATGTCCTGTGTTCATCTCAGATATTTTACGCTTCCACAAGGACAGCACTAGCTCCATTGGGCCCCTGCCCTCTGCCACTCAATTGGACTATAGACCACTGGGAGATATTCCCAGTTAGGAAGGTTTTCCGATTAAATGGGGCTTTTCCCCACTGTGTGGCAGGTAAGAAGTGGGCAAAAAGAAGCAGAAAAGCAGAGGCCTGACCTACACTTGTGGCATTCTGGGGGTCCAGGTCTGAGCAGCACCAACTCTGGGCGAGGATACAAAGCCCAGATCTGCACATTTTGGCTGCTCTGACTTTGCTGCATTTCAAATAACCTTGGAACACTTGAGATAGGGAAAGACTAGTGTCCTGGATTTCCCAACATCACTGTAAACCAAAGCCCATCGAGTTGTCTCACATGTCTGTTACATCACGCCCGAGCCAGTGCATCCCAAGACCAGTGTGTGTGAGGGGATATGCTTAATGTGGATCCTTGCAGATGCATGGAGAACTCTGCCTTTACTAGGAGGGTCCCAGTGCTCCCCATAATGCCTCAGTTCACTTAAAGTCTCACATGCTGCCTTCACAGTTCCGCGGTCACTCACCTGCCAACCTTGTAACTGACATTGTTGGAGAATGCACCGGCACCTGTCCTCTGCTGACAGCTCTTCCTCCTCACCCAGGAGCACGTCGGCCAACGGCTTGTACCTGTGGGCAGCAGGACAAGCAGTGACTGAGTTTGTCAAGCAGGAGGCACAGTCATCACATGCTTCTCAAAGTTCTCTCCATCTACCTGGACCCTTCCTGGTTCCCTGGTGTCCCAGCCATCCGATGACTGTGGAGGAGCCTCATCTTCTCTAGGGAACATCAATCTTAAATACAGCTGTCAGTCCTTTAGGCTTAGTGCCATGATGGACTGACACAAACCATTCATCCAGTAAAAGAAAATCCAAATCAACCTACTGGTTGCCATTAGACATTTTATTTACTTTAAAAAACTATACCCTTCCGGGCCTGGTGTGACGACTAAGTGGCTAAATCCTTGCCTTGCAAGTGCCAGGATCCCATATGGACACCTTCATGTCCTGGCTACTCTACTTCCCATCCAGCTCCCTGCACGTGGCCTGGGCAAGCAGTGGAGGACAGCTCAAGTCCTTGGGATCCTGTGTCCCTATGGCCGACCCCCAAGGAAGCTCCTGGTTCCTGGCTTTAGATTGGCTCAGCTCTGGCTGTGGGGGCCACTTGGGGAGTAAAACAATGGATAGAAGATCTTTCTCTTTGTAATTTCTTCTCTGCGTAAATCTTACTCTCCAATAAAAATCAATAAATCTTTTAAAAAAAGTACACTCTTTCCAAGGTTGACATCTTTCTCATTGGCTCCTGACATCCCAGATGTGGCCAGAATCCCTACCAGTGGAAGTGTGTCAGCACCCGACAGACTCGATTTCTGGAAGCAGAATAGCTCCTTGCTCTGTGCAGTTCAACATTCCTGGAAGGACGTCTTCTTTTGGGAAGTACTTCTGACTAACGGACTTCCATTTCCTATCTGAAATTCACAGCAATGTAATAATTCCCTACAGATTAAAAAATGATTTCAAAATTAGATTGTTCATGTGAAAAACAATCTGTTATATTTGCCTCTGGAATTGAAGCTGACACAGGAGCAAGGCTGCTGAGGGATGCTAAGCCAGAGGAAGTGGAGGAGAAAAAAGGAGAGAGGCAGCTCAGAGCTGTGTAATCGCAGCTCCGCTGTCTTTTGTGCTTCTGATGCTCAAGTGGGGCTGTCGTATACGCTGAGGGGACTCAATGCTCACACAGCAGTTCTCTGTCACCTTCTGCATCATACCCTGGTAGTTCCTCTAAGTGGCTGCAGACAATGTGGCATCTCCTAAAGCAAAGTACTTATTTCTTGTTCATGCCCGGGGTGATTAAGACAGGGAGTGGACTGCCTGCATACTTTATTCATCTCCCTTGTAGTGAGAGAAGAGGCTGTGAGTTCTGGGCAGGCCCCAGTGGCCACACATGCACATTTTTATTTCTACAAGCACTCTGAATAAACTTGCCACCAATTCTAGGGGATAGTGTTGCAGGAATGATGGGTCTGGCACACAGCAGACTCAGAAAATACCCCTGTTGAGGACTGATGGCTTGTGTGTCCCCAGACATTGCTGCGGAAATCCTAATACAGTCGTATTACTGAGTGCAGTCTTTGGAAGTGATTGGCTCATGGTGGCTAAGGGTGCTGCTGGAGGGGGCTAAGAGATCAGAATTTTTTCCTCCCAGCTCCTGGTTTAGGAAGCAGTCCTACAGAAGAAGCGGGGCCTGCTGCACACTGATCTAGACGCGAGCCCCTTGGACTGTGAAAATGATGCATTACTGTTGCTTACAAGCTATCACTCCATGGTTATTCATCGTAGCACCTTGTATGGACCAAGGCAATGCCTAGTTCACTTATCAGCAGAAGTCCTTTGCATCATCCTAGGAAACTCAGTCTTATTTTTCCCGGGTGGAGAATCATCATGATCTTGCTAGCCATGAGCCAGACAAAATGAACTGATCAACATCAGTAGTGACCCTTCCTTCTCACATAGAGATTTTTGCTCACGTATCACACTCGGTACAGGAAGGCATAAAAATAACAGAAGCAGTAACAGAAACAGAACGCTGAGACTGCAGTGCCAGAGGCAAGGGTACGCAGAATGTTGCTCGTCGTTTTGGCTACACAGCACAGATTTAAAACATTTGTGGGTGCCTGAAGTATCCAGTAATTTTTTTCTTTATTGATAAGTGACAAGAATGTAAGTTCTTAAGCTCAGGCTCTGAGGTTAGGTTTGTTTTTTCCATGGCCATATTACAGCCATTACATACAGAAAAGGGCATTTCCAGGGCATAACACAAGAGAGGAAATTAATGAAATGGAGCATGTGCATGGAGGGTCAGCAGGTAGGAGGGAGCAGGTGGAGGTTTGCTGCATTATCCTGCTAAGTTGCTGCAGCAGGGTCAGCAGCATGTTCCATGAACAAAGATAGCACTGAAGGGGTTGAAAGGTGGCAATGATGTAATTGCCCACTTACTGGAAAATGCAAGAATCTGGACTGAGAATCAAGTCACCAAGCTTCCGGTCTCAACATAGCCAAGAACTAGCTAGGAGATCCCTGACAAGCCACTTATCCAAGTTGCTTTCTGCCCTCCCTTGGAACTGCCTGTGTGAGTTTCCTGGGAAGAGTAAGATTCTATGCAGTAGGATAGCTCCTATCTGTCCTAGTGCGCAGGCTTCCAGAGCACAATGCCTGGTGGATGGCCTCTGGATTTCCAAAGCATCAACAAACAACAGAAGTCCGAGGAGTGAGGGAGGGGGAAGAAAGGTTTCTGGAGCACTGAGGGACTGCGAGAGACTCAGGTCCCAGCGCTCGCTTCTCAGATGCAAGGACACATAGGACCATCCCCTTGCAACTGTGAGAATGTCGAGGTTAACCAAGCTGATGTCAGTCAGCTCTGTTCAAAGAGGCAATGCTGCAGGTTGGAATATAGCTCCCCAACAGGTGAGCGGACCCAAGCCTTCTGGGAAGCAGATGGAACTGATGACCCAACATGGCTCTTGTCCTTGAGAGGAGGTAAAAGGCCAGGTGGGCAACTCCCTGCAATGGCTCCACAGGCCAGGGCACTGACACACCAGGAGTAAGCAGGGGAACATTCAGGAGCAAGCATAGGCCTGCTGATTCCTTCATTTGGTTTCCAGGATTGTGAGTGTGAGACCATCCTATCTGCAGTACCCCTTCAGTGCTAGCCTGAGGTACCTGTAATAGAGAGAGAAGCAGAAGTTGGACCTCAGATGAACTGACTTCAGAGATGAACCACTGGATCCACGACCCCAGAAGGGGGAGATCTACCACGAAGAACCAAGCAAGCAAAGCACGTCAGCGACAACTGAAGCCGCCGCTGTTTGGCCAACTTGACCTCTGGCTGACCTGGGCCTGTGTTATCAACGGGACCTCCAGGCAAGGTGGGACCCTTGGGATGACTGACACATCGCTGCCAGTTAAGCTGGAGCTGTACAATGGGGACCATCACTGAGATGATCGTTTTATTCTCTGACAATTGTCTCATTCGGGTACTTTGTTAATAATAACCAAGAATTTAATTGATATGATTCAAGTAGCTGAATATAGTATGAACAAGTCAGAATGAAAATCCTTGTACTTGGTGCTTTTTTTCCCTCTCTCATTTTATATTGTTCTTTTGACACTTCAAAGCTCTACTTCTGACATTTCAACTGAAAAGGCAAAAACATCATCTTGGGGTGAGATATCATATATCGGTAAAATCTCAGTCTTGTCTTCTGCACTGCGAGTGTCACCTACAGGTGGAAGATCATGACCACCTTCCACACCTGAGTTCAACCACGTTCTCCAGAGAACCAACGCCTGGGCAGAGCGGAGCGGGAAGTCAAGGCAGGGAGCAGGTAGAGGTGGGATTCTGTAGCTCTTGGTCGTAAAACTGGAATAGGTAGGAATCTGTGGCTCTTGGTCCTGGACCTGGAGGAGGTGGGATTCTGTGGCTCTCGGTCCAATGCCTGGAACAGGTGGAGGTGGGATTCTGGGAATCTCACTTCTACCCCGCTAATCTGTTTTCCAGGAAAGTCACACTGACCCAGTGAAGAACCCAAGGTGCAGGCTTCCACCTGCCCTGACTCTGAGATAAACCAAGCAACTCCATGAAGTGAACACTAACTTGTCCAGTTCACCAGATCTTATGCTCTCTGCCTGCTTTATGATAACGGGAATAATAGCCATCTCTTCCAAAGATTTATTCACTCATGCCAAATCAATCACTCAACCAATCAATCAGATAACTAGTACTGACCAAACACCAAGTGTGTGCTGGGAACTCTTCCAGGTGCTGGGAATATCAGGGAAGAACACGAGATGGAGACAAGTTTGAGAAATAGAGGAAAGAAATGAGCCACACAGGATGAGAGATAAGAAGGATGAGGCAAGAAGTTTTCACTGTGAGAGACCCCTGACAGAGAGGGGTGGAACTCCAGCCATCACGAGGGAGCACAGGCCCCAGGGGAGGAGCTGTACTCTGTGTAGGGCATTAACACCCATTGCTGGGCTATCCAGGACACAGGTGTGGTGGGAGAAGAGAAAGTGTAGAGAAAAGCAAGCACCTGGGCTAACAAAGTGGCCCTGCAGGCAACTGCAAGGATGCTAGCCTTGATGCTGTGTCCTGCGGAGCGGGCTGAGGTACTTGGCTGTAACAGCATCCCTCAAGCTGTGACTGACAGTGGGGCCCTCTGGAGCTCTTCCCACAGCTTGGATGAGGGAGCTGGACCATATTCCGAGCAATGGAGGTGGCGGGAACTGGGTAGGCACTGCATGTCTTTGCATGAGCCAGTGAGATTTCTCAGACATGAGCTGGTATGAGATGACAGGAGGAGAGACCAGCTCTTGATTTCAGACTTAGTGGACAAGGTGGACATTTGTTGAAAGTCCTGGGAAGTCCAGCCATGACTCACACTGATGCTGTAGAAACAGAGCAGGGAGAATGTGCCCAGTGAGATCCAGGTGGAGTTCCAGAAGAAGGCAGGGTCATGAGTCCTGCATGCCAGATTTAGGCTGACAGTGACAGCCCTGAGTCTGTTTCACCACGCCATGGGCTTTTCTCCAACAAGGGGGCACAGCTGAAGATTCCAGAAGCTGAGTCAG